ATGCAAAAATGTCAACGTATACGTTTCTACTTTGTGCATTCGTACTTATTTTATATTATCAAGACATCGTGGAATGTAATAGATTATTAAATTAAATACTTAGAAAAATGGTATTATATATCGGATGATATAATAGAGATACTCTTAGCCGCCTTTCAATAATACTATAAATAATAGTAATGTAATGTAAACGTTCATGAAGAGGAATCTGTGAGTGTGAAAAACATTTGCACCCAGCGGGATTCCAACCTGGGACCTTCTGCTGTCTATGCAGACGCCTTAACCAACTATGCAATTATATGAGACTTCATTGGAAGTTGAAGTCTGATTAAGGTCTATAAAAAAATGTACAGATGTATAGAAATATATTAAATGAAAACCCACGAGGACAGGTTCGTAACATATATTTTTGTTATTTGTGGTCCCTGAGTCTAATGAACATTTTTTACTGAGTATTATTGACCTGGAATGTACATTTTGGATTAGTGCAGGGACCCAAAAACATTGCATCTCAAGATAGAAACTAAAATGCAATCCAAAAAAAGTTGTGTTTTTAATCTGTGCAATAAAGTACGAGATTGCAATTCAAGAATGTCTAGCGGCACAGCATTGCAGGTGCTGCAACACTAAGGGTAGTTTACCATAATTATTTCAAACGGCAAGTTGGAAAATGAGAATAGGACCTGTTCGTTGACTACATTTACTCGATCGCATGTTGATAAGATCTGAGTTGCATGATGCAGTCTGACCATGTACTTCTTTGTAAGTGAGTGAACATTTTAAAAAACAATCCTTTGAGTTATATTACAACTTTTTTCAATAATATTGTAAGTGATGGTACCGGTAGTGTGACTAATGTAATTCAAAAAGAAAGTCTGTTAGATTTGTACGATATAAACATATCGTTTTGTAATTGGTAGAGGTACCGTAATGACAAAAGCTACAGTTAGCAATACATAACTTACCGTATTGTGTAAATAATCAAAAATGTCAACGTATACGTTTCTACTTTGTGCATTCATACTTATTTTATATTATCAAGACATCGTGGAATATAATAGATTATTAAATTAAATACTTAGAAAAATTGTATTATATATAGGATGATATAATAGAGATACACTCTTAGCCGCCTTTCAATAATACTATAAATATACGTAATGTAAACGTTCATGAAGAGGAATCTGTGAGTGTGAAAAGCATTTGCACCCAGCGGGATTCGAACCCGGGACCTTCTGCTGTCTATGCAGACGCCTTAACCAACTATGCAATTATATGAGACTTCATTGGAAGTTGAAGTCTGATTAAGGTCTATAAAAAAAATGTACAGATGTACTGAAATATATTAAATGAAAACCGACGAGGACAGGTTCGTAACATATATTTTTTTATTTGTGGTGCCTGAGTCTAATGAACATTTTTTACTGAGTATTATTGACCTGGAATGTACATTTTGGATTAGTGCAGGGACCCAAAAACAGTGCATCTCAAGATAGAAACTAAAATGCAATCCAAAAAAAGTTGTGTTTTTAATCTGTGCAATAAAGTACGAGATTGCAATTCAAAAATGTCTAGCGGCACAGCATTGCAGGTGCTGCAACACGTAAGGGTAGTTTACCATAATTATTTCAAACGGCAAGTTGGAAAATGAGAATAGGACCTGTTCGTTGACTACATTTACTCGATCGCATGTTGATAAGATCAGAGTTGCATGATGCAGTCTGACCATGTACTGCTTTGTAAGTGAGTGAACATTTTAAAAAACAATCCATTGAGTCATATTACAACTTTTTTCAATATTATTGTAAGTGATGGTACCGATTGTGTGACTAATGTAATTCAAAAAGAAAGTCTGTTAGATTTGTACGATATAAACATATCGTTTTGTAATTGGTAGAGGTACCGTAATGACAAAAGCTACAGTTAGCAATACATAACTTACCGTATTGTGTAAATAATGGGTCTACAAAAGCGTATGTAGGCCTACTTAATGCCGATTCTGAAAGCAGCACTTTGGGTGTCATTCGGAATACTACGTTTTTCATAGATATTTTTAATACGGTTACTCGTGATTTCCGTCATATCGATGGTAGACAAATGTTACCGTTCGCAATAAATTAAACAACCACTTCAGTGGCAGTTAAATTTGTGAGCCTACGTCAGGCATACGAATCCCGCCTCCGGAATTTTGCAATACGTATAACTTTATCATTAATTACCCGATGTAACACGCGGTCGGTGATGGTCTGTGCCGATCGTCATCGAAAACGATCTGTTGTGCAATCGCAGTATGGAAGTGATAAGGGAATACCAACCAATAATTTTAAATACATTGTATGAATGAATGATCATAGAACTATCTGATCTTGAATATGGTATCAAAATTGCAAATATTTAACGAGAACGGTCTAGCAATAATGTTACAAGGTTCCAAACTATTTATCCTTTGGATATGCCAATAACGAAATCATCCATTAAATGGTACTATATTTACATAACATAATTATTATATTTCATTTCTTTAGGCACGAGCGCCAAGGATATGCCAATAAGTGAACTTAATCACTGTCCTACGTGGTATATCCATTTAACAACAGGGGACTTAATGGACCAGTGCACCGGGTTAACCCCCTACTCTTCTCGAATGATGTACTGTATTCTTTGAAGTGCACACGAGCTAAAACACTGGGCCTACGGTTTAAAGTCCTTATCCCAGAAGTCTTTTTACACTAGAGGAAATATTTTCTTTTGTAGCGTAAATTTAATATTTATGCCAATAAACAACTTGGTTTATATAACTTAGCGTAGTGATTTTTTTTTTTGTACAATTTGTTTAGTGAAATTTTGCCGGGAATGGGGTTTTAAGAAAACGCAAGTAATCTTTTATATTATTTTCATAGCTCCGTTCTGTTTCTAGACACCAAATAATACGCATGCAGTATACGGGTGTTCGATTCCATTATTTCCTTTTATGCTCGAAGCATGGACCTATTCTCGAAGGTAAGTTCAGGGAATTGAATTGAGTTTCTGTGACCCTTGACCTTGTCCGTCTTTGTCGCTCTGGTATTATTGAACCTAAACTTCGTTCAACTTATGATACTTGAAGCATAGTTATATTACAACTTTTTTCAATAATATTGTAAGTGATGGTACCGGTAGTGTGACTAATGTAATTCAAAAAGAAAGTCTGTTAGATTTGTACGATATAAACATATCGTTTTGTAATTGGTAGAGGTACCGTAATGACAAAAGCTACAGTTAGCAATACATAACTTACCGTATTGTGTAAATAATGGGTCTACAAAAGCGTATGTAGGCCTACTTAATGCCGATTCTGAAAGCAGCACTTTGGGTGTCATTCGGAATACTACGTTTTTCATAGATATTTTTAATACGGTTACTCGTGATTTCCGTCATATCGATGGTAGACAAATGTTACCGTTCGCAATAAATTAAACAACCACTTCAGTGGCAGTTAAATTTGTGAGCCTACGTCAGGCATACGAATCCCGCCTCCGGAATTTTGCAATACGTATAACTTTATCATTAATTTTTGCCGGGAATGGGGTTTTAAGAAAACGCAAGTAATCTTTTATATTATTTTCTTAGCTCCGTTCTGTTTCTAGACACCAAATAATACGCATGCAGTATACGGGTGTTGGATTCCATTATTTCCTTTTATGCTCGAAGCATGGACCTATTCTCGAAGGTAAGTTCAAGGAATTGAATTAAGTTTCCGTGACCTTGACCTTGTCCGTCTTTGTCGCTCTGGTATTCTTGAACCTAAACTTCGATCAACTTATGATACTTGAAGCATGCAAGACCCTCCTTAAAATGGTCCTGAGTCTTTAATCAGTAATTATTATATATTTAAGTGCCAGCGACAAATTATATATTTGATGAAAATTGTAGGTTTATATATGAAAAAACGAAATCAGTGGTACTGCATATAATAGTTAATGTCATAGTAAAGGCACATATTCTTGTGTGCTTATTGGGGGGTAATATGGATTAAAGTGAAAGTCGTGATTTTATATTTATTTGCGTATACATTGATGATGAGATTTGGAGCCCTGTGACGGTAGTTCTACTTATCAATATATCATCTGCATAGCAAAATACATTAAGTGGCAATTTTTAGATTTTTACCACATTCCATTTCGAATAGACCTTTGATCATATATTTATGAAACACAGTGAAAATTTAAGGCGATGATAAGCCTCCATGACGTCTACCTAAACATTAATTTTTTTTGGTTTTTTTTTTTTAAATTAGAAAAACTATTCCCCTTTGAATATGATACCATTATTTAATACAGACATTGAAGATAGTGGAAATACAAGTGGGGCTTTTGAATTCAGGGACTGCTTTAGATGCACAACTGTGACACCGTCTGGTCCCGGGGCGGAAGATTGGTTAAGACATTTAATTACTCAAACGATCGTGTCTGCATCAAAAGCATGAGTATCGACAAGTACAGTATTCCCAATTAGTAACTTAGATTTTTTGTGATAAAAGAATCGTCTGATATCGTCAACGTTTAACTCAACTGGCCCAAATGTTTCTTTGAAGAAAGCATGAAGTGAGGCAATATAAATGTCAGACATAATTGTAGCATTGATTTTAACCCTTTTCTTAGTGTCCTAGAATTTGTTACTGTTTTTTTTTCGTAAATACTAAATTTAAGTTATTAATTTTTTTTATTAACAACATCTTTGACAGCATATAACCAACCTTTCTATAGTATTTCTTAACGTATTTATAACGCTCATAAATTTGATATTTACGTGGTCGCCCTCAACTTTTCAAAATTCTGAACCAGAATCATTTGCGGTCACGAGCGATGGAGCAATTGTTATTCCACCAATGATTTTTGTTTTTACTTTTATTATCCATATTGGCTTCGGTAACATTAACAGGTTTACATGCATTATGGAGAGTTTTGGCTAGAATATGGTAAGCATTGCATAAGTATATGCAGTATATATATCCTGTCTCTTATACACATCTAGATGTGTATAAGAGACAGATATATATATATATATATATATATATATATATTCCTCTGCTTATAAGAGCAATTTCTCCTAATATTACAATATTATCAATGTGTTCAAATCATATCCTCAAACAGACGGGGTTATTTTTATATGATTCAATGCATCAAAATTCGAAATTTCTTCGATTCTTATAACGTAGGCCTAAATGATAGACATAAAATAAATTACCGACTTACTTTGTGCATGTGAGAATGCTCCGAAAAGAAACAACAATAGACAAATCCTTAAGTAAAGTCCGAACAGTAAACTCATGTCGCCAATGCGACTTTCAAGTCTTAACGGGTAAAAATAACGTTCAAATATGTTTTAAAGTTTTCTCCCACGATAAGGCGATCTACACAGAAAATATCAGAAAACGATGTCAGAAGTTGTGTAAAGTTCCTTAATAAATGAAAGTGACAGGTGCTTCTGATTTTTTGTATTAATACAATGAATACACGATTGGCATTACTCTTAAACGATGAAAAGTCGTTCAGACGTTACAAGTTAACGCCCAAAAAAGTATAATGGAGTGAACAAAAGGAAACCACACAAGCACAAGTCTCACTGTACCTAAGGCCACGGAATGATTGTTAAACCTAACAATGGTCAATAGAATTATAGTTTTGTTAGATCCGTGATCAGTCACTATGTACACTGTAGGACTTATTACTTCCTGTACTATAGATATTATTTGCCAAGACATTTAAAAGTTCATTACTTATTTTCATATTTTTTTTTTGGTTTTCCCCTCCTTCCCCCTGAAAAAGTACACTATAAAATGAATATTTTTGTCTATTTTGAGATCAACAACAATTTCCAAGACAACAATCATCAATAGTCATGCTCTCCCATAAACAACAACATCATGGTTTGAAGGTTTGCATGGCGAAGTTATATTATAATATATGTAACGCAAGCATTAATATATTATATTAATGCTTGCGGTACAACACGTCTGAAAAGGACTGCTGTTGTTGGTTGAGAATATTTCGACGTTATCGTCTTCAGAATAATATCTGCAGAAATTCCAAACAGGGAAATACTTATATTTTGGGGTAGTGAGACTTGCTGCTGATTGGTTGAATACTATACAATAGCTGAGACTACGTGTGAAAAAGCTATACAAAAGCCAAAATTCACAGTCTGTGTAACAAAAAATGGTGGGGAAGTGGCATAAACATCGTTTATGCTGGGATAAAGCCGAACTGGACTGATAGCCACTGTAGCATCTTGGCATTCCAGACGGAGCAGAGAAGCTACTGAAATTCACAAACACGATACAATTCATCCAGATACTGGACTTGTTATCAGCCATATTTGCCGGTTGTTCATGCTTAATCGGACCTAAACCAAAGCTGCATATTTTCCCGCCAAAATTGCGTGTTTGAATCCTTCATGCTGTTTTACAGTTACATATGCTGTACTCTCAATCAGGCATTCAATACCATCCCGCACCCCTAAACGTAGGTTTTGTACGCATATGAAAATAATTAAAATTATGGATGGTCCCTCAGACAGCTTTATATTCAGACAATAGGCATGGTAACAATAAAGGTATTTAAACAAGCCTTAAGCCGTACCTATACAAATATGAAGTTTAATAAACTTCATAATTATTGTAATTTCATGGTTATCCTATATAGAAAAACTAACTCTTGCCAGCTACTGACACAATTGATCTTTCCTGTAAATTAAACTTAACTGTCCAATTTGAAGCTATCTCTTGTTTGTATAAAGCTATCATGATCTTGACTATCATTGAGTATGGTCTCCCTGCTTGGGGTCCTGTTTACGCCAAACATTCTGAACGTCTTGAACAAATTCAACGACGTGCTTCTAGGCGTATTCTTAAAGTCGGCTGGGGGTATTACCTCATGAGGAGAGGCTCAAGCAGTTAAACTGGCTGTCCCTTAAGGACCGTCGTGATCAAATTTTAATCTCTTTTATTTTTCGTTGTTTGTATAATTTTAATTACTGTTACAGTGTTGTTGATAATCTTGCAATTAATCCTTGTTACCCTGATTCTCTTACCTTCAAACATCCATACGCTCGCACTAATTGTCTCAAATTCTCTGCTATCCATCGTTTCCCTGTTCTCTTGTCCTCACTTCCTTCTGAACTAAAAGATTCTGCAGTCCTTTGTTCTCTCTCGGTTTTCTTAAGGCAAGTTAAACAATTTTTTTCTCGACGCTTAAATTTTTTATCGTTCTTTTATGAAATTTTATCTATTATTCAATTGTGTGCGAAATCTGTGTTTTTTATTATTTTTTTTTGTCTTGGCCTTTCACTTTTTACATTTTAAACCTTTCTTTTTATATACTCGCTAATAATGTAGTTAAGTTTTGTTTTCTGGGGCTCCAGACTTTTGTCATGGTGATTTTGTTGCTTTTGGGGCCCCAAGACACTTGTCTGAATAAATAAATGAAAATGAAATGAAATGAAATCAGAAATGACCCATAAATACGTGTTTGTCCCGAGCGCGTGTTGTCCCACACTAACGTAGGTTTACGGTGACGTTTTGTGGAACAATCAATGCCAAGAGTGCGGGGCTTGAGGTAAGATACATTAATTTTAATGTTGACGGAGTGGTTGTAGTATAAAATTAGTTGTATTTTATGATATCGTCTCCGACACCATGAAGTGACACAAACCTATAAAGTCGTAATTTTTCTTTCTCTTATTACTTTGACAGTTTAATTAAGTACATCAAACCCACCTTTTCAGCTAATTTTAAGAGCTATTTAGGTAATTTACTGGGTTTTCAGAAAACGCTCGTGCGACGTTGTAATCGCTGTCATTGGCTAGATTATAACAACAGTACAAACAGTTATTTTCGATCATCAAATGGAACATGGAGTAACTGCATGACTGGAGTAGCTGTGTATTGTTCGTGGTTTCTTTTGAATCTGAAAGTCATTAAAATGGGGAAAATTGTTATGTTATATCACAAAAGTCTTTCAGTCTCAGAATTCAATAGTGCAGACATAAATAAAAAACCGACAATAACTTAAAGCTTAAAGCCACATTCTAAATCATGGGTGTCACACAATAGTTCGATTGTTTCAATGAATAGCAATGAATACTACAGTATGCTTAGCAAAAAAAACCCTAGACGTTTTAAATACTGTAAATATTGACAACCCTTAAAGTAGTACTGTACCCGAATACGTCGTCAATGCTTAATAGTTAGAGCCGGTGTTATTGTATAAAACATAACACAGTGACCAGTGGAATTAGGAACCGTGAAAAATTACCTGTATAATTATTTTAGTGAAGGTACTAATTTCTGTATATATATATACCTATATATTAAGAATTCTTCTTATCGAGTCCACGTACATTCCAAAACTAAATTGTGTCCAGCCCTAGCTGGACACATTTCTTTGCCTTTTGATGGTATCCGGCGGAATCAGTAATGGTGCAGGATTCCTCGAGAATGCAAGAGATGTTGTATGGTATGAGGGTCATTCCCACAGTCTCCAGTAATTGGCTTGGTGGAATAACCCAATTATTGAAATGTAACCTTAAAAAGGCCTACCCCAATTATGTGGCCCAGTTGTTATCGGCTTCAGGTTTTATTTCCATCGCTAAATTATTCTGTGGTAGATTGGCAAGCTGTTCTTTCCACAAAGCGATGCGAGCTTCAGGGCGTTAGTGTTTGTTAGTTTTTTTTTTTTTTTCAGAGGAGTGACGCTGTCCAAAAAGTTTTTCGGGACTTAAGACGTCTGTGAACTGTTGTGTGATCATGCAAAATGTGCCTCTTATCTAATACAGTACTTGCCTAACGTCGCTCTATTTTGCTAGCAACCGTTCGTCTTATACTTAAGGAGCAGTTCCTGCCACAATGTATCTGTCTTTGTTAGTTGGTTTTAAACACGGTTGGCCATGAAATTTACCCGACCGGAGGAACCAGGCCCTTGACCGGGTGGAAGGACAGGTGTCCCACACGAGAGCGTAAATCTATGTTGGCCTAAATCACTTGAAGTGGCCCAGCTTATCAATTTGGTTTTCAAAGGCTCATTTAATTGATTTTAGAGTCCATTTATATATATATATATATATATAAATATATATAATTTTTATTTCTCCCCGATAACTTGTGTTTTTCCTCGACGGGGGACGATCCCTGGCTTTAAAAAAAAAGGATCGTTTCATAATATACTGAACATTAACTCCAACTTGTACTACGATATATTGTAAACATTTTAGTTCAATTCCATGAATTATTATCGTATAATAATGCGTTGACATAATGAAATCACTTAATGTTTGCTACAGTAACTGTCTCGGGATTTTTCTAAGAAAACCTAAGTTTTGCAGTGCCAGTAAGCTTTTTTTAATGCTGACTTCCTTCTGCCGTTTAGTGAATTCACGACGAGAAAGTCAGTATTTAGATTTATCACCAGAATTGTCGACAAGTCGACAAATGAGTTGAGGGCGTTAAAGATAATGCTTTAAGACAGTCTAAGTTACGGCATACCTGGAATAATGTGCTTTACAGTTGAGTTTTGATACATAATTCGCGCTTAACTGACTGGTGCCTAGCCCTATATGGTATTACTGTTCAATGGTTTCTTGTAAATAGTTTTTATAGCTATTTGGTGGTCGTAGGTTTTGAATTGTTGTTCCCTTTTCATTATATTATTATGTACTGCAATAGGAACAATCTTGGTTCTTGGTTTGAATTGAATTACAGGAATGTTTAGTACCTAAATTAGGCACATTCCAAATAAACAATCACGGGCTTAACACAGACTAATATGGTTCAATGAAAAGCAATGAATAGAACTACCAGCGACCTAATTACAGTCGTACTGTACTTGAATAGGCATACAACTTACAAATGCAGTCAAAGAGTGATATGATGGTACATTGTATGGTTTGAGCCAATGAGAGTATAAATGAACATATTCAAGTTGAAGAACCTTGAAAAATTACCTAGGAACAAAAAACTAATATGAAAATATACTTATGTTGAAAATTGAGGGCATACTTCAACTACCATTAAACAATGACTCATCATTTTTTTTTTTGTATAATTGTAATAATGAACTTATACATAGTCAATTTGACTATGTTCTATGTATGGGTGTATGTGTGTATAATATCGCTGTTATCACGTGAATATAGGTTATGCTTCTAATATAGGTTATGCTTCTATAGAATCGATGCGCATTCCGCATGCCAGTTTGAATTCATCTGGAATAAAATTTCCTATAATACAGGCAAAAGGTTGGAATCTGTCTACATTGGTGACATTTACTATCCACCTTCAGCCAATTATGGTGATGAACTCATTGATCATATTCCTGCCACTGTTTATGGGATCCGTGAAAATGATCTTATTAAATAGTGGGGTAAGACCAGGGTGAGATGAGAATGGTGGACATAAACTCATGTACGCTTTCTTTGGAGAATGTATACTTTTACTATCAATTTACTCTGAATGGGTGAATCTTTTCTTTGTTAAAGTACTAAAATCAAAAGTAACTCCATCTT